GTTGGACCGTCCACTGACATTCGCGGGGGACACGTCATCCTCAAGGATTCGGGCACCTTTATTCAAACCACTCATGTGAGGATCACCCAGGATCCTCCACCACTTGAGGAAGTAGTGCCTACAGTACTTGTGGAACCGGAACTACCTGAGGAAGATCCTCCTATGCCACCTCCTCTACTACCACCACCATCCAGAAGGGTGCGGGCTAAGGGTCCTGTTGTTTCAAAGCTGGACTTGTTCTTTCCGGAAAATGAGGTGATGGTGGACTATTCCACGGATTCCGAGCTGTTGGAGGACGAGGGCTCCCAGGTGAAGTATTTACGAGTTGGCGAGATCCAGTATGTTGAGGCCATCGCCAAGCAGTTGTACAAGGACTCAAAATACAGTGAATATGATTGTACACGACTGCTCACCCTCTTTGCTGGTACGTGTGGAAACCTGAGAGTGCCGAGGGCTCCTCTTGGGGTTGGGATGATTCTTGGAGCTTATGTACATGGAGGTTCATTTGGAGTCACCAGGTATGGACGTGATCTACCTTGGGTGGCGAGGTACTTCAATGAGTACCTTAAAAGGAAGCTTCAAAAAACCCGCCCTGAGTTATCGTGCTCGTGGACAACTCTGGCTATCCAGTCGGCGGAGGACATCCCCCGGCACAAGGACAGCCACAATGAAAGAGGAACCATGAACTACGTGATCGAGTTGAAGACGGATTCGTTGGATGGTTTATGGGTGGAAAATCATTGTGGTGGACGTGCTGTAGTAGGTGGTGTTCATCCTCGTGACCATCAGTATGAAGATGGAAGTGGAGGTGTTCATGATGGGTGTTTGGTTGGCGTTGCTGACGAACCTGCGGTGTTTGATCCGTTGATTCCCCATGCTTATGTCAAGGAGAGCAAGGCTAAGTGGTTCCTCTCCGCATATACCCCGCAAGGAGCTTACAAATTGAGAGCGGAGGACTTAAACTACTTGGACTCCCTCGGCTTTCCGCTGGACGATGTGTCGTCTGGTAAAGGGAACCCCAGCAGGGCATTGGAAACCACACCGATGTTGAAGAGAGCTTCCTTGCCATCAGAAGAGTTACAGAGCTGAGCTCGTGACCAAGGTGATGAGGTGGAAGCTTTACCTGCTGGAGATTGTGAAGCTTGTTTTGGTGAATGGGCTATATATGTTCCCGAGGTGTCCTATGAGCAGGCTGAGGAGGAGGACCTGGTGACCAGTTATGTGTCACTTCGTAAAGTATGTGCTTCCGATGATCCAAATTCAGAATTGCCAGAGTTGACAAGGACAGTGAGCATGCTGTCTGAGGAGGAGGCGAGGTCCCCGTATGCAGATGATATGGAAGATAATGTTGAGTATTGGACTTCGTTGGGGTTGTATGAGCATCCTCGATTGGCGAAGTTGGAGCCGGAGTATACAGAGGGCATCGAGGACATCATCGAGCAGGCCATCCACTCCGGTGCCCCGCTTCGTCACACTTACAATGTGAGCCCCAAAGACACCAAGCCCGTGATCGAAAAGTGGCGACCAGCCATTGCTAAGGAGGTTGCAGTGGTTGAGAAGGGGTTCAAGAGAATCAAGATTCAGGATGTCTCCGGTTTGAAGGAGAATCATATTGTCCAGGAGCTTCCCTCTAAGCTTGTGTATACAATCAAACCTCCAGCCGGAGATGGACCGGCTGAGGGTGAGCAATCCTTCTGTAAGAGGAAGGCACGGATAGCATGCTGTGGTAACTATGCTGCAGATGACCAAGGTGAGCTATATGCAGGCGGTGCTGCAGCAGAAAGCCTCAGATGCTCGTTGACGTACACGGCCAGGCGCAAGTGGCGCGCTGGCATTCTGGACATAACAGGAGCTTTTATGCTTACACCTTTGCCGCAAGGCTTTGGGGAGGTGATCTACATTATCAGGCCACCAGTGGCCCTGGTTCAGCTTGGTTTGGCACACCCAGACGAGCGGTGGCAGCTAACACATGGGATGTATGGGTTGAGACAGAGCCCCAAGTTATGGTCATCCTTTCGCGACCAGAAGCTGAAGGCTATGGTTATTTCCGCCGAAGGCAAGGAATGGGTCCTC